AAAAAAAGCGTTGTAAAAACGGCGGCGGGCGGCGGTGTGGCTCGGCGGCGTATACCTCTAGTATGTAGGTGTGGTATTCGCTGGCAGCAGCAGAGTTAGGCCTAAAGTGGAAGGCCCGTTGTGATTACCAAGAATGTGAAATTTCACTCCCTGTTGCTGAAGAATTTAAGAGTCCTTCACACATTCCGTCACTTCACAAGTTATTAAAAAACGACAATGTAAATTTCGCAATCTACTTATAGATAGCGCACGACAGTAACATACATAGATACATATTGCAGGATCTACGCCACGTTGCTGCGAGCCATTCTGCATGCTTAGTTTCTATGAAGCAGTGGCGCGAGAGCACAAGTGGTTTAAGACGCATTTGTATGTACATGTATGCTCCTTTCTTACAGAAAATAAACTTCGAAAACTTTTTCGCTCCAACCCACAATAGGTCAAATGATCACTTTTTTAATGAAGGCTTCAAAATTATACTAGTTGGACCAAAAACCTTAAGAATAGCGTAAAGGAGACAAACTCTCGTAAATTAATCCATTCACGACCAACATTTTTTTTTAACTTTTGCACGACCTAGTATAATACAAACATACACATGTTAACTGTACTACTTAGTCATTTATCTATTTAAAAAGTGCATTCAATCAGGGACAGAAAATAATAGATATTTTCGAAATTTCAATTTCGGATAGAATTTGTCTTTTTAAGATTTGTATATAGCAATGTGATGCTTGTTAACCAAAGAGTGTTCATCCTAAATGATATTTTTTTTTACTTTTTTCAAAAAAGTCAAATTAACCGTTATTTGCTCAGTGATAAATTTTCAATCAAAATAACAGTTAAATTTTAACTTTTATTTTACCGGTTAAAAATCAAGGTTAAAATTTGACTGTTATTTTGATTGGAAAAATATCACTGAAATATAAAAGTTAAAATTTGAATTTTATTATTGCGGTCAAAAATAACAGTTGAAATTTTACTTTTATTTTTCGGTCAAAAATAGCAGTTTATATAATTACAATACAATAGTATGTTTTAATTGAAAAAAAAAAATATATATATCAAAGTAAAACGTGCACATTAGGGTGATCCAAAATAACTGACCTAACGAAATTATGGCTTTAAAAGTACCTTTTTCCCGAGAAGAAAATTTTCCCTTTTGAAAAAATTTGTCTGCCAATTTTTAAAGGTGTCGGTGGGCATTTGAAATTTTGCATGTAAAAAATTTGATTTCATTAAAAATGTTACAACTATTGAACCGTTTGGCATAACATTTTGTTCTTGGCTTTTTCTTGTAGGGCATTAAATTCTCCAAAAAATTACAAAATTTGATTGTCTAAACCTATAATGCACAGCGATGTAAGAGCTACCCATGCAAGCGCAAAATATTTGCCTCAGTATGTGTGTACTCAACAACCCAGCAACGGCTTTTAATTTTTTTAGAAGGACTTATTTTTTTATCAATGGAGTAACGCAATACAAGTCGCCTCAAGACAATTTTCGCTTATCCATTGCATTACAGTAATGCAATGGCAAGAAATTATACATTTATTCGATTACCTCCAATGACATGCACATGTTAAAATAATGCATTCTGTAAACGAAAACGTAAGCGCTCACTCTCAAAAAGTGGTTCCCCAATCGAGAGTAACCGCTTACCTAGCGCAATGTGTATACCAAATTTGCTTGAGGGCGGTCAAGTAGTTTTCGAGATACACATATATGGGGGGGCGGTGCCACCCCCATTTTCCTAAAATTTCCTGAAAAACCACTTCTTTGGTAAAAAGGGATGGTATATATCAATTCTGAATAAACATTGATGAATTCCTTACCCACACTGCTGGTGAAACTTCAAAAAAAAAAAAAAAAAAAAAATTTNGGTGAAACTTAAAAAAAAAAAAAAAAAAAACATTTTCGATGGGCACCCCCATGTACATGTATGTTGAAAGAGAAAATAAATAAAAAGTCAGTTTGATAAAATACACTACATACCTTAGTGAAAGAATTATATGTGCATCATGTTTTTCCTCGATTTCTCTATATTAAATAAGGGTCATGTTTTTTGTGGTATGCAATTAGAATAGCCCTTGGTTTATAAGTATTTTCCATACTTTAGGTTGGTATTCGTGTATAATTTTATCTACCGTTTCAGCAATCAGTAGTGTATTCAACAGAAAATAATTATATGTGCATAAGGAGTTATTCGGCTCCGGATTGCTGCAGTGTCATAAATTCGCAACAAAAATGTCCACTAACAACTGGGTTTTAAAAACTTAAATATGTAGAAGCTATTTTCATACTAAATCCCGTTTTATTATTTTTCCATATTAAATCACTGCCCAACAATATCCAATTAAAGATAATAAAACCAAAGAAGCAGCAATATGCAAACTAAGTAACCGAATCATCCAATTCGAACGCAACATTAAACATAACCCATCCGAAAGATTTATTTTAGAAACTTTTAATAGAACTAAAACGCTATTAAAACGATATAACGACGAAATAGTAGTTACTGATGCCGACAAGGGAAATAAAACTGTGATATTGTACAAAGCGGACTATACAGAGAAGATGAAACAACTACTTGACGACAAAACTACATATAAAACAATAAGAAATGACCCAGCGACCACACTTCAGAGGAAAAACAATGCCTTAGTTGACGACTTGTACAAAAACAAGATTATTGCATTTAAAGAGAAACGACAATTGACATGCACCGCTGCGACAGCGCCTAGCCTTTATGGGCTACCAAAGATACACACACCGGACTTGCCTTTACGGCCATAACCTCGTTATGGAAAAATACCACATAAAAAATGCATTCCAATTGAAAGAAAAACTCGAAAATATTCGGATAGAAGAGGAAGATTTATTGGTGTCCTTCGACGTGATATCCCTCTTCACCAACATCCCGACACATTAAGCTATTAAAATCATCCTGGAAAAGTGGAACGAGATTCAACCAAACACGAAAATACCGAAAAATAAGTTCCACAACATTCTGAGTTTCTGTCTGAAAGAGAATAATTATTTCACATGCAACGGAAATTTCTATGCCCAGACTTTTGGGATGCCGATGGGAAATCCCCTCTCGCCAACGATTGCAGACATAGTTATGGACAATTTATTGGACAATACCGTGATAGAGGAAACACTTCAACATTGACATCAAATTTATGGTTAAATATGTGGACGACATTTTTGCTATTGTAAGACGAAACGACGTGGATATAATTTTAAAAACACTTAACGAATACCATCCTAAACTACAATTTACTATGGAACCAGAAACGAATTCCCGCATCCCATTCCTAGACGTCATGATTCACAGGAAAAATAATTCCATACTACTTGACTGGTTTTCGAAACCCTCATCCCCTGTTCGCATAATTAATTTCTTGTGTTCGCAACCCTTAAAATATAAAGTAAACACAGCAAAAAGCCTTATGCATAAAATACTAACAATATGCCACGCACAATTTCGAGACACAAACATTAATAGAATAAACAGAATTCTAACTAACAACAACTACCCGCACCACCTAATACAAAGTTTACTAAAACAGAAAATAAGAGAAATGGAGAACCAGCACAACAAAACAACGAAATCGAAAACAACAAGTGAGACAAAGCGATATCACAGTGTCACATACGTACCTAAGTTCCACCAACAACTTGAAGGCGAAATAAACAGCAATCAGAACATTATATTAGCATACAAATCTAACACCTTGTCTTCAATTTTCACAAAAACAAAATCCCCAGTAGAATCCCACCAACAAAACAATGTGGTATATGAAATCGCATGCAAAGAGAGCGAAAACGAATGCTGCAATAAAGTGTACATTGGCACAACGAAGCGACCAGTGGGAGTTCGCCTAGCTGAACACGAAGCCGACATTAGGAAGAATAAAAACAGCACCGCTTTAGCACAACATGTGTTAGCTGATCTTACCAACGCACACTGGCCGGAATTGAAGTTTTTTTGGCATAAATTCGAAAAATAAAGGTATCGTCCTCAAAATCGGTACACACGATATTCATGCTAGTAGCAAGTTAGGGTAAGAAGGTTGGGCCGATCAGATCATTCTTACGCCCTGTCACCCTCCTCTGTATCATCTATACATAGTTTCAAGGAAAGTTGAGATTCTTTGTACGCGCTAATATCGAAAACTAGTGAACGGATTTAGACGAGATTTTCTATAGTATACTCTGTATAGAAAGGAGAGTTACCGTTGGTATTTAGAATTTGTATAGGGTTGCCACCTGTCTAAAAAACTATAAGATACACACCGCTCGTTGGATTACAAAAAATTAGGTGTCATATGAAAGGCATTGGCCCATAGAAAACTATTAATGCTTTTGTTTTTAATAGGGTTGCCACCACGATGCAGCGAAACAAAGGTGGCGCCTTCCGCGGACCGCTAATCCTCTCTTTCTCGATTTGACAGCATCCACCCTTTCGCTGACGTCACATTATACTTTTTTCGCACTAGTGATGAATATTAAATTTTCATATTATACCGAAAAGTTGTACCTAAAAGTAGATACACGTACCTAAACAGTAAACATGTATTTTTATATGCATATATTTTTGATAGTTGGTGGACTACATCATCCCTCTGTACCATAACAACTTCTGGACTTACATGAAACAATATTTTACTACGTTCCAAATGTACCTAAAATAATGTGCTTGTACCGAATGTACGTTCAAATTTAAGAAGCTGAAGAGTAGGTACAATTCAACCTAGTTTTACATCACTATTTCGCACCACTTGTTCGCTTCTTCCTCTTCTTCTTCAAAATTATTCTTTACACTCTCATTCTTATAATAACGTGACGTCACACCCAGTTGCTCTCAGCTCGATTGGCGTATTCTTGTATTCTATCATTCTTAGGTTGTCACCTATTAAGAAAATTACTATATTCAATTATAATAAGCGTAGGCATCAGTTCTGCACCGTCACTGTCAAATGAAACGACTTAGCCTCTAGATGTGCATTTACATATTATATTTCTTGGTAGGGTTGCCACCTGTTAAAACTTTACTTCAAATCGGCTATAATAAGCAAATACTTTCGAAGTTTTTATNTATATTATTTCTTGATAGGGTTGCCACCTGTTAAAACTTTACTTCAAATCGGCTATAATAAGCAAATACTTTCGAAGTTTTTATTCATAAGAACCACAAACAATTTTATTCATACGAATTTTATATACATACATATGTACATATATCTACGTATTTTTTGTTAATATTTAACATTCTTCTACCTCCAACTGAACATCAAATGGCTGCACAATGTCACATAAAGAATCAGCATCAGAGTCGGTGTCCGTTGAGCAATCTGATGTATTTAAATGGTCGGAATGCGGTTCAACGTTTGGAGCTTTCAAAAGTTCAATAACTTCTTTAGGTATTTTTTTCTTTTGATTTTGTTGTTGTCTCTTATTTAAAAATAAGCTTGAAAGGAATGGATCAGAGGAATCAATTGCTCTTTGGAAGACGTCGGCCATATTATTAGTTCTACTATTTTGTCTAGCATGAGATCGCCTGTCGCTCTTATAATATTTATTGCGGGATTCTGAAGCACTTTCACCAAGACAGCCTAGGGGCACTACAGAGGCTGCGATGATTTGTGCACCGTGTATTAAAATTTTATGTAGAGTCGGTGACATCGGATACCACGGGTACATTTCCATATACAACGAATATGTCTTTTCCGAGTACTGCCTAGACTTTAGGGCGCTAATCTCGTATTCACAAGAAATGGCGATCAAAATCATGTGAAAACTGTGCAGTAAGTCGGTGTCAAACCCTAATATTGAAGAAAATAGCGTAACATCTGAGAAAGCTCTTCTGGCAGTATTGCCATCATTCATGTTTCCGCTACCGCTCTGCTTTGGTCTATTCACATGAAGTCCCATTTCCGTCCATAACCGTTTTTGAAGAAGTTTTTTACGGGCCTCAATAATTTTCTTCTCATTTTCATCTCTTATTTGCCATTTTTTTACTTCAATCCTATATGACACATTAAGAACAAACTCCAAGGTTCTTATCCAAGCATGAAGGGGACTAATGCCATACTTCAGTTTATCAGGCCTTGCCTTAAAATGTGCAGAGTTTACGTCTTTTGTTTGCATGAAAGCTTTAGGTCCTGCTCCACAGATGGGACATAATTGACAAGATTTAATACCTGACAAGATATTTAACACTTTTCCGTCTGTTAGAGTCATATGGAGATCAAAGAACACCGTGATATTTCGGTTGCCGAAGTCTGTATAAATAAATGGTTTTAAATTTCCTATTTGTAGATCCAAGTCTTCTTTTTCCATTAAAATGTGCTCCCTTGTTTCCTTTATAAATTGTATTTTTAGTGGTCTGCAAAACCGCACAGACTGTGGAGTGGAATTATTCCAAATCACTCTTCCTGAAATTTCACTCAGTTTTAAAGGTATAATTGTGGTAACGAACAAAGATTGATCAAGAGCATACGGATCATTTTAAAATTTTTGTTTATAAGTGCTTTGGCCAGTCGACCCGTCAAATCCATAGCTCACAATAAGCCTAAGTTCAGCGATTTCAGGAAAACTAATGAAGACTTGTTCTTGTACTAAAATTAGGCGTTTGGCGGTGTGGTCCAATAAATTCTGCAATGAAACTTGAGCGACAGTTTCATCGATGCTTATTCCAAGGGGTCTGCATTTCAATTTAGCTTCCACAAGTCTGTCATAACTTGGGTATATATTGCAGTGTTGTTGTTTATTTAAAGCTCTCATGTTGTTATATTGTTTTTTAGTATATGAATTATCGAGCAAGAATGCAAGGGCTTCATCTGGAGTTATTGGTATTGGATTCTTTGAACAAAGCTTTTGTTTTAACCTTTTGGGCGCATTCGGTGACCTCACACATTCTTTTAAAACAAAGGCTACGTCTCTATTAGATTTTTTTGCTGATAACGTAGCAGCATGTACAAGTAGCGAAGTATCGTGCTCATTCGAAAGATCGCTAGCCAATTTCCGTTTCAATAGGGGTCCAGCGTCATTTTAAGTTAAATGGGGTCATCCTACATTATTGGGCTTTTTTGTGTTATTATTGTCAACAATTATGACTATATTTCCAGATAACCACTGTGAATGCGTTACCTTCAGTCGATCCAATTGTCGGTTGCATTTCCGTAAATTTAGTGTAGTAAAAGCGACAAAGTTTGCTACTTTTTTGCGTATTTCTCTTTCTTTATCAATACTTAAAAGAGATTTCCCAATTCTAGTAAAGATATACTCTGTTATCGCGTCTTTTTTCTTATTATTTCTACACCAAATAGTTAGAAGCTCTGCATGTGGAAATTCGAACTTCACTANCCTGCATGCGGAAATTCGAACTTCACTAAAAATGTAAAATTTTGTTAAAATGGGCAAAAATTAGCAAAAACTGTTACTAGGCCAATAACATCTAATTATTAGTAAGCATTTTTGTATTATTAGCTCGTCTAATAACTTGTCAGCTTGCTAGTTCTACTCCACGGAACACAAACATATTGTTAAGTATTATTTTTTAAATATGCACTACAAATATATTAAATAAAAGCAACATTTAACACACACACGATATAACCATTAACTCACTGTATTGAACATACTTTGACCTTCATTATCCATATCTGATTTTCTTTCTTTTATAATAACACAACCGTTCACAAGACTTTAAAGTTTGCTCCAAATCTGGCAAAATAACAGCTGATCAGACACATGACTTTGAAGGCAAACTAAGAGCACAAGGTTGAAACTTCAAATCTGTTATTGGCACATTTTCTTAGTTGATATATGTACTTTTAGAAAAATAACTGATATCAAGAATATATTGCTATAAAAATCTTGAATTTATGCCAAAAAATCCAATTCCGGCCAGTGTGCAACGTGTGAATCAGTGTTGCCAGAACTTTCTGGATCAATCGGCTAAATTGGCAAAGAAACCGGCTAAACGGTTTCAACAAAATTTCACATGTTTTATTTAAATAAATCATAAGTAGAAAGACTAGTTCTTGGAGAGAAGTTGCAAATTCAAGCTGGAAAAAATTGTTCCAGCAAGAATTTGCAATTAGGAAAAACATATGATTGTGGCACATGGTTGCATTTTTTTCGACAATAATTTGAATAAACAGGTTCGTAAAATTTAAAAATTTACAAACTTGAGCGATTTTAAAATGAAAAATTTAAGTAAAGACTTGTTTACTTAATTAATTTAGTTAAATCCAATGGTTTGAAACGTACTCGTAATGCAATCTCAACCAGAGTCGATATAGGAAACGCGACAGTTAGTACGGCAAAGAAATTGAAACATATGTTGAAGAAAGTCGGACTAGCAAGAAATATACATGTAGATCCTGTTTTTTGTACCTCTGAAAGAATTTTAAAAATCTATACAAATTTCTTATGTTTTAAATGCAACCGTGGACACTAGCTGGCAGAGAAACTTGCAAGTTCCTGCAAATTTACGTTCGTCCAGAAATTTGCAAGTTTCTCAACTTGTGAGAGAATTTGTGAGCATTTTTTCTAACTGATATTTTGAGTAATAATTTTCGCTGGATTTTCGACGAACAAACCTATTGTCTTCCTAGAGAGTTTTGCTTTACATAGAAATTTGTACTCTTACTTTCATTTTTAAGCATTTCAGTGTTGGTTCTTTTAATTCAAGTTGCCCTTCGGTTTTTGGAATTTAAATAAGTTCTCAGAAAAAAAGTTAGTTTAAATAAATCCATATGTGTACATAGTGCTTTGAAATATTTTTTTTTCCCTTACATTAAAACTTTAAGCGTAGGCAACAATGATGTTTTGTAATTAAGGCAGAATTGAATATGCGCTATCTGGGAAGACAATACCTGTAACATTTATTCTTGGCACTATATCCAAACACAAACGCGTGTTAAGCAAAGAGTGAAACAATTTGTTATTTTTTACGTTTGCGAATAAAACTTCACACTTAAATTTAAGTCATTGATAACAAACATTTTATAAAGAAAATCCCCGTTACGGCCTTTAGAAAAAAAATATTCGTTTAAAATAAAAATGAGCGAAATCGGCCCAATTTTATATAACCCTGCTTCCGCAATAATGCTAGTAGCCATTTCTAACAAGTTTTGGGTCGCTTAGTCAAAAATGGAAACATATATTTGAATTTTCAGAAAACAAGGAATAGCAAAATCAGCTAACTTCTTTTTCCAAAACGGCTAACAAATCGGCTTCCGGCTAAACCGAAATTTCTCCGGCTGTTTGCTATCGGAACCGGCTAGATCTAGCCAGAAAACGGCTAAAATGGCAACACGGGTGAGAATAGTGGATAGGGAAAAAAGAGAAAAAACAAGATACACACTGGAGAGTTTAAGAATTTTGCAAAAAAGAAATGTAACAATAAACAAAAAAGAAGACACTGACGACATCGCGGCTGCATACTTATTATGTTTATAGCCTTTTAGTGTTAGTTTCACAAATGTACCACAGGGTGATGGTATGAACGCTGCTTAAAAATTTTTAAAGTTTAAATGTAAAGTGTACAATAGTTTATTTTTCAAATGTAAGTTTTTCAATGTTTAAAGTCCAGTATGCTTACGGTGACCATCCGTTCTGTTTTTTGCAGGACCGTACTGTTTTTCAAAGGTCGGTCCTGCGTAATTTTTATACCCGAGCGCACTTGTGCACAAGGGTATTATAACTTTGTTCACATAACGGTTGTTTGTAACAGGCAAAACGAATCGAGATAGATATAGACAAATGTATACATAAATGATCAGAATGAAAAGAGAAATCGATTAAGCGGTGACTGTCTGTCCGTCCGTCAGCTCGGTATGGTTATTGTGCTTGCCACATAAAAGCAAACCGTTGAAAATTGTTGAAATCGGACTAAAATTGAGGCCGCTTTTCATATAACGGTAAATTTCAGATATGCTTGAAATTTCAATATTTCGAAATTTAAGGTTGCAAATTTACTTAAAATGTATACACCCCGGCTTATCATGTAGCGGTAGCTTTCGGAAAGGTGGAAAACATATATTTAATACTTGCGCCGGGTATTTAATGTTCGGCTCCGCCCGAACTTAGACTTTCTTACTTGTTCAAACCTGAAAAACCTGAAAGTGTACTGCATTTGTCCCGCATTTTATTCGTTATTTTACAATTATCGGACAATGGATGGATTTTTTCAAAAAAGTGTTTTTTGGTACTTTTCGTAGCTTTTCTTCAATATCTCATGAAAAAATCTCAAAATTAACGTAAGCGACTTACAGCTCGAAGGGTATTGATGTGCCTCTTACCAAAATATATACCTTGTGGCGACTTCAATGAAAATTAGTAGTGCTACAGGGCGAAAAAAGTGAGATTTTCAATCAAATACGCAGTTTCATTTGATTATTTTATTCATTATTTAAAAAATTCGATAAAGAAGATATATTATTACAGTAAACTTTGAGCCAAAGATAATGAAAATCGGATTAGAAATGTAGATGCTATGGAGCGCAATCTGCACAAATTATATATTTTTGTAAAGGGCACTTTGTAACTCGTCGTTTACGTCGATTCATGACGTCGATTTTTGACAAATAACTGCGAAAAGTACCAAAAAAACAAAAAAAGAAGGGTATTGTTTTCTTTTTGGTTGTTTGTGTTTCCGACAGGGTAGGAGTATGATGTATTGTGGAACAATTTTCCGTCATCCCTTGTCAAATTTGGTTTGGAGACAAACCGGTTTCGGCGTTGTGCCATCTTCAGTGTCATTTTTCATTGTTTTCGTTTTGATCGACTCAAAATTTGCCTATAAAATAATCTTTTAAAGATTTCCACTTCTT